AGGCCGCGCACACGATGCTCTGCATCTCTCTGGTGAGGCACTGCCAAGGGGTCCAGCACTAGGAGGAATGAAGCTGGATTTTCTTCTCTCTTCCCTCTAGTTTGTTTTTACCTTATTGTACAGAAAATGTCAGTCCTCGCATCCTCCTCCTCCCGCCTTTTATGGGCATCCTCAAACAGCTGTAAAAGGATTTGAATTGAGGTTTGTCTGTACGAACGTGATCAGAGCCGGGGAATCTGCTGCTCGGAAGCTCGCTGTTGGTGAAATTTGTTGAATGCATATTGGCCAGCTTCTCTGGACCTTCAGACAGCTGAGAAAAGCAAAACAGGCAGGTTTCCCTGGGACAGAAAAACCCAAACCTTGCACAAACTACAGGCATGGCTGAAATAAAATGTGCTAGGTGGCAGGAGGACACCCGCAGGGGACACAGCAATGCCTAAGATTGATTAATTCATCTTAATGCTCAACTCTGTGGTTTTAAGATATCTTTCGCTAAGCAAAGGGGCCTTTTATGAAGATAGTGGTGGCAGTGATCTCGTGTGTTGTAGCTCGTAGGAGCAGCCATCTGAAAGTTAAAACAGAGAACCTGGCTCTGCTTTATCGGGGCCTGAGCTGTGACCTCTCGGCTTCGTCAGGATCAGCTTCACCCTTTGGGGCAGCACTTGGCTGTACACGGTGTCGTAAGGCCGTAGTTACAAGTCCTGGGAGTCACAAAGAAGAGGAGGAAGATGTAGAACTGCTGCTGCTGTGGACTGTGCTCCAGGCTTCGGGCTCCACTTGTGCTCTAGCAACTATGTAAGCTCTCCAGAGTGACAGGAAGTACATTACCTGCCTTTACAGAACCAATAAACGGCAGAAAACTGAAATATCTCTGCAGAGAGCAGTGCTTTAAAATAAGTCTGATTTTTTTTTAAAAAAAAAGAAAGAAACCATAACAAAAAAAAACAGCTGGAAAGCTTTTACCTATAGCAGCGGTTCTTAGTTATCCTGTTGCTTTGTCCATCTTGCAAAATAGATCCGTGACTATTTAAATTAGAAAGTGTGTGGAAGAGGGGTGCAAAAGAAAAATACAGAGAGGAGAGGGGAGCTCCCTGCTCATGCTGGAGGCTTTCCGGGTCTGCCTGCAGTGTCACCTCGCAGGGATCCCGCTTCCCAGGCTCCACGTGCTCACGGCACAGCACATGGAACGTGAGCGCCCACGTCCAATGCGATTCGGCGCGGTTGCGAGCACTGAAACGCAAGGGCAAGGCAAAGTCGAGGGCAACGAAGGTGCAGACTCAGGCGCCTTCTAATCAGCTCCAAGTCATTTTTTTCTCACGTACAGTTTTCCTACTGTTCGCGTCGTTGCCCCGAAAAAGCCTGACTCCTTTAAACGTGAGCTTCTCTTTGCCTGCTTGTACAAAAAGAAGGAAATTGTGTTCATTTGCCTCGAAACTAGAATCGTGTGCTGACTGGCAAAACAGAAAAGTCTCTTCTTTTTTTCCTGTCGCAAGGGTGGACTGGTCTGCGTTACTGGTGCTGCCCCCCCAGCTTTGTAAAATGTGTCACTTTTGTACCAACCCCCGACTTGACTGCACTCCCACTTTTTTTTCCCCCTGGTTCAGGTACAGTACTTACTTTGTTGTGAACACTTAAGCACATGCACGCTCGGTGTAGCTTGCCTTTCCTCTGTAATTTTTTTCGATTTTTTTTTTTAGGGAAAAAATAAAAAAAGCTTTATTATTCTCCTCTTTAAAAAAAAAAAAAGTAATTTAAAACGTGTATAGCATTCAAAGTACGCATTGTAAATACTTATTACTCGGTAAATTAGTGGAGGGTTCTTTTTGGTGACTAAGCGGTGGGTTTGATTTTGAAATCTTGCTCGTAACACAGACATCCCGCGCGCGCGTTGGCAGAGGAGCGTCGAGCGTTGTGTCCCCCACCCACCTCCTGTCCACCCTGAGAAACTGGTTTTTTTGGTTTTGATGACTGTTATAAATATCTTCTCAAACCTTTTCTGCTGATCTGTACCTTTAGTTTTGAAGACACCTGCCCAAAGATCACGTACAGTCCGCCTGAGACCAGTAACCTTGCTGCGCTATAAACTTGGCATGTTTTTTCCTTTTCTTTTTCCATTCAGAGAACTCGGTAACGTTGTGTTTGAACCGTTAAGACCATCTGCATGTCCCACCTGTTCTCTGTCGTTACCCAGAGCAGTGGGAACTACTCGGCGCCGGGGCCCACGCGGCTCTCCTCGCACCGCAGCCACGGGCTGTTGCGGGGAGCACGGCAAGCGCCGGGCTCGGGGCAGCACGATACATTCATGACGCTCTTGGACGTTGCAAAGGAACTGACACCCGTCCCGCAGCAGCATGAGCCCACACCTGTAACACAGAGCATGTAACCTCCAACATAACTTCCAGGACAACGTACTTACTACTGAGTTGAATTGTGGCGATTCCATAGTACAAACTGTTCCTGAGAGGATCTGATGTGTTGCTGGAGGAGTGGGGCTGGAAACAGCGCAGGCCCTGTTGAGATTGCCGAAAGAACATTGAGTTTGAGTTGAGATTCCTGGAAGAAACCAAGAGTGTGGGATTTACTAACAGGAACCTGATGGGCCAGGCGAGTTGGCCCCAACTGAGCGAAGCCGGCTGGCCCGGAACTCCTAATTAACGAGTGCAACTGCAATTAGTCTCTTTGTGCTTTCTTCACGTGCTTGCCTGCACTGACAGGAACGCTCACGCCTTGTTCTAAACCGGAGGCAGCCGAGTATGTTGTAAAATACTCAAGACTGCGGTAAGTAGGAAGCGGATACGAAAGCGCCGTCTTCGACCTGTGTTCACCCTCCTGGGGAGCTGGAGTTCCTGGATGACTTTAGGTTGTGAAGAATCGCTTATTCGAAAGGATGAGGTTTTGGGGAGAGAGAGGGAAGGTCTGCAAGCTTGTTGGATAGGACAGGACACGGTGCTGGTAGGGGGATACAAAGTTAGTGGCCCTCCACCGTCCTGATGAGACGGGGCCTCAGTTCTGCCCCAGCACAGCTTTGGCTGACGCGCAACCACGGAGAGGGGGGACTCGTTCTGGATCAAAACCACGCACACCCCACGCTCAGCCACGTGTGCTCTGGAAACGACGCGAAGGAATTGTGAGTGATGAGGGTGCAGGAGTCATTTCCCAGTTCCTGCGCCCCACAGGGCCAACGGTCTTTTTAAAGGCATTTTTCCACCCAGGTTAGGCTGGGAAATAATGTCTCACACGTGGTTATTTTCCCTCTGTGAAGGGGAACGGGTGTTGGAGGCTCCTGTTTGTCAGTCTGTGTGAGTTCCTCCCTCCTTCTCCGGTTTATTTCAGTGCTTTTTTAAGAGCCACTGTTCCCTATCAACTGTTCGCTGTAATAGAAACATCACTTTTTTTTCTCATGGTATTTATTCCTTACAAAAAGTCTTGTGTGACATGCTAGGTTCTCATGGATGTAGCTGATCATTTTTATTTTGTAAATATAATTACCTAACTTTACATTAACTATATCCTAATAAACTATTTTTGCACCACCCTTTGCATGCCGTGTAGTGAGGTGTTTCTTCCAAAAAAAGGACACTGCTACAGAAAGAAGCAGAGGCCAGAGCCTGAAAATGAAGGAGCTGTCGGCTTTTGCAAGTGACACTTGACAAAGAAAATGCAACAGGTAGCAGTAACGTGTTTAAATAGTGTGCATCTAATGTTGCGGAATGGGATTTACTAGAGAATGACCTTCCCTCACTTTTTCCACAGTTGCTACATCACAGGTAACAGTGATGCTTTTTTCCCCAGACCCACACCAACGTTCTCACACAGAACAGAACAAATCTGCAATCTGTTGATGTTCCTCTGCATCCTAAATAACACCTAAGGGTCTACCGGAATTTTTAACGATGCGGATCTTTGGGACAACCAACCCGCCGGGACCGCCTGGAGTGCAAAAAGCAGAATATGATGAGCTTTTCTGTGAAAATGGGAAATGGTTTATTCATTGGCGCCAACCACAGCAATACTGTATCAAGCAGAACTGGTAACAAAATGGTAAGACCTGTTTTTCATTTTGAGAGATTCTGAAGCACTTTGCAGTAATTCTTAACGCAGATGCTGTTCAGAATTTTGAAAGTCTTAAATGTACGCCCATCTTTGTTCCAGTCTGAACCGCAGGGACAGAGATTTTACCTCCCTCTCGCTATTCACTCACTGTCCTCCACCCTGCTCCTGCCCACACAGGCGCTCAGTCACCGAACGAGACCAGGACACGGTGTCCCACCAGCCTGAATTAACCCGGCTTCCCTTCCACCACTTGGCTCTGCAGTCGGTGACCGAACTCCAGCCACGTCTGTTCTCAAGACTGACTGATCCCAACGAACGGTTTCTCTCATTTCTTTCCAGACTTTCCTACACTCGCCTGCTGGAAGACGAGCTGTCGTTAGTACCCATTCTCATGCTTTTACACTGGAGCTCTGCTAATCTTAAACCAAAGGAAACGTGCACACAACAAAAACGTACTTGGGATTTCTGCCTTCGCATTTCCCACAAATTTCCTTTTACAAACTTTCAATAATGCTAACGAGAAACATAACTAAGGCGCTTAACTTCTGTACAAACTCTAGCTTTGCTGTAGCCCTCTTAAAGCTTCCTTTAGAGTTGCTGATGTAGAGGAGTGATGAGGCTACAGTTCCATCCTGAAAACATGTCCATTTCCCCACCGAAACACCTACCCAGCACCGTCTGAACAGACCTCGCTTGTGCCAGGGCACAGCAGCAAGCCTGCCTGTAGTTTTAAGCTCTATGAGCGCAGTCTTGCCACAGCTATCCTCCCAAAAGAATGCACCAAACGGTTGTGTGGTTCCCTCTAGCACGGGAATGACCGACAGCAAGGGACCTGTGGCACTTCAGGGCAGAGAGCACTTGCCTAAATTGCACCCAGATGGATAAATACAATGAGGTCTATAGATAACCATAATAAAGCACTCTGCCAGCTCTGTGAGGCAGCTCAGTCATTTACTGTCCTTAGAAAAAAATCTGTAGTTGGTGGGGTTGTACTCTTCCCAAATCCTCTCAAACTCCTCCAGAAACTGTTTCACGTACTCGGCGTCCTCCACAACCAGCACGTTCTCCCGGTTGTTCTGGATAGCATCGGTGGTCCAGTTGAGGGAGCCCGTGATGAGCATCCTCCTGTCCACGATCGCGAACTTGTGGTGCATGAAACCGCTCTCCTGGTCGTGGCGCACCTGGATCCCTACAAAGACACAACCACCTCTTCAGCCAGAACCAAACCCGCTGCCCAGGCCG